AAAACCTTCAAAACAAAATAACAAGGCAGGATCATGCAGGGATGTATGTGAGTATGACAAGAGTAAGGTGAGGGTTGTTACATCCTACCCCCCTTAAAGAAGTTTGGTCCCCAAACTTAGATTACCTTGCTCTGAAAACAACTTTGGATAACGGATTCTCACATCCTCTTCCTTTTCCCACGTGGCTTCTGTGCCATAATGTTCCTTCCATTCGACCTTTACCATCGGTATCGATTTGTTTCTCAACTGCCTCACTTGTCTGTCAATAACCCTTATTGGTTTCTCCTCGTAGCCCAAATCCTCATCAATCGAAATCCCGAAATGATCAATTATATGCAGTGGATCTCGGATGTATTTTCTCAACATCGAAACATGAAACACATTGTGGACTTGGCTCAAATCTGGCGGCAAAGCAAGTCTGTAGGCAACGGAATTAATTCTCTCAAGAATTTCAAATGGCCCAATATAGCGAGGTGCTAACTTACCTCTCTTTCCAAATCTGGAAACTCCTTTCATTGGTGAAACTTTCAGGAATACATGATTCGCAACTTCGAACTCTATCTCATTCCTTCTCTGGTCGGTGCAGCTCTTTTGTCGGCTCTGGGCAGTTTTAATCCTCTGTTGGATAAGTTTAATCTTTTCTGTTGTCACTTGAATCAACTCGGGACCAAGCAGAGTTCTGTCTCCAACTTCGGTCCAACATATTGGCGACCTACATTTTCTTCCATACAAGGCTTCATACGGCGCCATGCCAATACTAGCTTGATAACCGTTATTGTAAGCGAATTCCACTAAGGGCCAATGTGTTCCCCAACTTCCTTGGAAGTCCAATACACAAAGCCTAAGCATATCTTCAAGCGTCTGAATTGTCCTCTCTGTCTGCCCATCCGTCTGGGGATGAAAGGCTGTGCTAAATCTCAGCTCGGCTCCAAAAGCCCTCTGTAAACTCTGCCAAAATCTAGAAACAAATTTAGGATCTCGGTCTGACACAATTGATATCGGTACTCCATGAAGTCTGACAATCTCGTTCACATACAACAAGGCAAGTTGATTGGCGTTGAATGTAGTCTTAACAGGTAGAAAGTGTGCTGACTTAGTTAATCTGTCAATAACAACCCAAATCGAATCCATACCTTTCGGTGTCTTCGGCAAACCAGTCACAAAATCCATGGAGATATGTTCCCATTTCCACTCAGGAATCGGCAAAGGTTGAAGAAGTCCTGCCGGTCTTTGATGTTCTGCTTTCACTTGCTGACAACGTAAACACTGGGACACGAATTCGGCTATCTCTCTTTTCATATTTGGCCACCAGAAGGTCCGCTTCACATCTTGATACATTTTGGTGTTCCCTGGATGAACATCAAACTTAGAACCATAAGCTTCCTGCAAAATTTTCCTTTTCAACTCTGGGATGTCGGCCACACACAACCTTCCTTCAAACTTGAGTATTTGCTCTTCGATAGTATACCCTGATCTCGGCTTCATGTCAATTTCCTCGACTATTTTCTTGAAGAAGTTATCCTCCATCTGTCTTGTCTTTACCTCATCAACAATAGTCGGCTCCACTGTCATCATGGTCAAGCACGCCAAATTTCCATCTGACTTTCTGCTCAAAGCGTCGGCTACACTGTTGGCTTTTCCCGGGTGATATTGAATTTGCATATCATAGTCTTTCAACAACTCTAGCCACCTTCTCTGTCTCAAATTCAATTCCTTCTGTGTGAATAGGTACTTTAAACTCTTATGGTCTATAAAAACTTGACAAGAAGCTCCATACAAATAGTGACGCCAAATCTTTAAAGCAAATACCACGGCCGCCAATTCTAAGTCATGGGTAGGATAGTTTTTCTCATGAGGTTTCAACTGACGAGATGCATAAGCTATAACCTTACCCTTTTGCATTAATACACAACCCAAACCCTTATGCGATGCATCACTATAGACATGAAACTCTTCGTTACCTGATGGTAGCACAAGTACTGGTGCCGTAACTAACCTCGTCTTCAGTTCCTGGAAAGCTGACTCTCGATCTTTAGTCCATTCATACAGTGTTCCCTTCTTAGTCAATTGCGTCAATGGAATTGCAATCTTTGAGAAATCTTTGACAAACTTCCTGTAATAACCTGCCAAACCTAGAAAACTACGAATCTCGGATACATTAGTCGGTCTCGGCCAATTTACTACAGCTTCAATTTTGCTAGGATCAACTGAGATACCCTCTTCGTTAATCACATGACCCAAAAATGAGATGGTAGAAAGCCAAAACTCACACTTGTTAAACTTAGCATACAATTTCCGTTCTCTCAAAATCTGTAAGGCAAGTCTCAAATGATTTTCGTGTTCAGTTTCGCTCTTGGAATAGATCAATATATCATCAATGAAGACAACTACAAACTCATCTAAATATGGTTTGAAGACTCTGTTCATCAAATCCATAAATGCAGCAGGGGCATTGGTCACTCCAAAAGGCATCACTAAAAACTCGTAGTGGCCATATCTTGTCCGAAAAGCAGTCTTCTCAACATCTTCGGCTTTTACGTTAAGCTGATGGTAACCAGACCTAAGGTCGATCTTAGAAAAGACTCGTGCTCCTTGTAATTGGTCAAGCAGATCATCGATCCTAGGCAATGGGTACTTGTTCTTGATGGTGACCTTATTAAGTTCTCTATAATCGACACAAAGACGGAGTGTGCCATCCTTTTTCTTAACAAATAAAACAGGTGCTCCCCATGGTGAAGTGCTCGACCTAATAAATCCCTTATCTAACAACTCTTGCAATTGCAGTTTCAATTCTCTAAGTTCAGCTGGGGCCATCCTATAAGGTGTTTTGGAGATCGGCTGTGTTCCCGACATGATGTCAACAGAAAACTCTATTTCTCTATCGGTTAGGTGACCAGGCAATTTGTCTGGAAAGACGTCGGGGAAATCGTTAACAACTGGGATGTCGGCTAAATTAACATTTCCATTCTGATCACTCAATATACTACACAAGTAGCCTCGGCACCCCTTCTGAATTAACTTACAGGCCTTAATGGACGAAATCAAATAAGGTGGGGGCACTATCCCTTTACCCTGGAAAATAACCTCGGCTAGGTTTGGGGGTCTCAATGTGACACTTTTCGAAACACAGTTAATAGATGCATGATTTGCGACCAACCAATCCATTCCCAGTATAACATCAAAATGGGCTATGTCTAGAGGCATTAAATCTACTAACAATACCACATTCTTAATCACAACCACACATGCTCTATAGATGGATGCAACAATCATAGGTCTCCCAGATGGAGTAGACACAGACAACACATAATCAAGGGGCTCTAGTTCTCTATTAATTTTCTGGGCAAACTTAGTAGATATAAACGAATGCGTAGAACCCGAATCAATCAACACATAAGCATCTTGGGAGCAAATTAGAAGTATACCTGACACCACTGCCTCAGCATTCTGAGTGTCTCCTGGTACTAACGCAAATACTCTGCCCTATCTCATCTGTCCTTTCCCAGTATTTCCCTTCTGAACAGAACCTGAGGTATTCTCACCCTTCTTGTTGTTATCAGCTTTTGTCTTGGGGCAATCTCTTACATAATGGCCCATCTCACCACATTCATAGCAGGCTCCAGACGTCCGTCGACAAATCCCGAAATGTTGCTTTCCACAGTCCGAACACGTCGGCTTAGCACTCCCTTCCTGCCTTAGGTTACTACTACTGCCCATGTTCGTTCTCTTCTTGGTGCCCGGCTGTCCTCGGCGACTGTCATAGTTCTGCCTTTTTTGGTGGTTCTCTCCCGAACTCTGGTATCGATTCAAATTAGCTTCGGTCTGAATGGCTTTGTCCAATACTTCGGCATAAGTCGGCATATCGAGCAAACTAACCCGGTCTTGAATCGGTCCACGAAGCCCACACTCGAACTTCCTGGCCTTCATATATTCATCGTTGACCATGTGAGGTACAAACCTCACCAATTCAGTAAGAGCGCGGTCATATTCTGCCACTGTTCTGTTGCCTTGCGTCAGAGTATGAAATTCGGTAGCCTTGCGGTTTCGAACACTTAGGGGAAAATGTTTCTTGTAGAACAACTCTAAGAATCAAGTCCAGGTCAGATCTGGATTGCTCCCTCTAACCATCATCCACCATCTGCGAGCGTCATCATCTAATGTGAATGCTGCCAACGTCACTTTCTGAGCGTCGGTGCTAGGGAAGATCTCGAACAACTTCTCCATTTCTAAAACCCATGCCTCAGCCTTCATCGGCTCTATACCCCCAGAAAATCTCGGTGGTCTCATTTTCTTGAACTCTCTGATCAAAGCTATCGTGCCATCCCCATATAAGGCTGGCTGTGGGGGCACTTGTGATACTGGAGGAGGTGGAGGTGGAACTGCATTTCGGCCATTTGTCTGCTCGGCCTGAGTCGATGTAGCACTAGCGTACCCCTTTGCCACGTGACGGGGGGTGATTGGAGGAGCAGGAAAAAAAAGAAAAAGAAAAAGAAAATGTAACCAATGAGAGAGAGGGAGTCAAAGGGGGTGAGAGGAAAAGAGGGGATGAATCATTGTTGTTCTATAAAATAGACCCTACATTAAAATTTCAACTTGATTCACCCGAAAAAAATCAAAATTTTAATCAATCTCAGCTGATTGGCTCAATTTCATTTTGTTATAATTAAATTTATTGGATGGGTAGCCTTAGCTGAGCTTGAGACTTTCATATTAATATTTGTATTGCTGCTGCCCCCTAAATTCAAGCTGTGGTCCATACTCAGGCACAACAAAGAACAAGCTAAGACAGGTGTAATTAAATTAAAATGCCTATCCCATAACTTGTCACCATAACCAAACAGACACCAAACTGCCATAAGAGGGGAATTGAAAACCTTCTTAACTCAAATTAGGGCAAATCCTGCACAGAGCCACTTCCAGATTTAGAGGTGGCCAAAAGATAATATGCAGAAGAGGCAGCAAAACTCGCAAGCACAAAAGCATTTGCCAACACAAGGAAATTCTTCAAGAGTAATCTATGAAGCAGCAGATTAATGCCCTTCGAAGAACATTTGAATGTCATTTGCAGATGGGTATACTCATTGTTATTAATTAGTGATCATATCTCTCTCAATGAAATAACACAAAAAAAATGGAAAACGTTCATCAAAGATCCTCAATGTTAAGCTTTCTAATGAGATTTAAGTCCTGGGTACAAAAATTTGACTATTGCCTTTGATTTTGGCTTAATAACCTAGAAATATAGGTTTGTGAGTATTTGCTAACATGAGGGCCAACAAATTTCTTTCTGACAGATGTACTTCTCTGCAAACCCAATCAAAAAGAACCCATATGTGGAAGTACCACTCGTCCAATGTACCTGCAATTCAAAAATCAAAACAATGGAGGCTGGCATTTTGTAATGATAGTAACACAATTCACACATTGCATAAATAACTGGGAATGAGAACTTAGACCAATAATAATAATAAAAGAATTAGATTAAAAAATAAAATTCCATTCTAAAAAACACGGATACTTCTAAGAAGGTTCCAACACTTGTCAGACATTCCAAACATGTCTTATTTCTTTTAAGTTTTTTTAGGATCAGACATGCTTCAAAAAAGAAAAAGAAAAAAAAAAGTGGACACACATTGCAAATTTGAAGAAATATAACTTGGGAGCTAATGATAAAATAAAAACAATGTGTACAGATATCTATTTATTCTTTCCTTTTTACTTTTAAGAATTCTTAAGCCCAAACTTCCAATTTGTTTATAAACAAAACTGTCTAACATTGATATAAGGGCTTTTTGGTCACAGTTCTTTCCATTGTGTAGAAACTCAAGGTCCGGTGAAATGATGAGAACAGCAGACACCGGCCGTTACTCACTGAAACTACAATATGAATGAGTTCCAAGAAAGCGGCCATTCACGTCAGGAATAGCGGTTGTTGAACATCATCAGAATTCTTTGCAACACGAGCATTCAGATAACAACAAACACTTACCATCCAAGCAAGCAGGATTACTTTGATCAAAGCCCACTAAGATACCACAGCTTTTGGTGTTCTATGATTCACCTCCAAATAATGAGTAAAAATGATTTCTTACTATTTTGATTTAAAAAAATATAAATGTATTTGTACTTATTTTCATATAAATAAAATTTCATATTTATTTGTAGCCGTGCCGTGCTGTGCCATGTCTTTTTTCATAAAATTTCTATATCAGTGTGTCCATATCATGTCATAACATTTGTCATGTCGAAAGCTATGCTTCTTGAGTTGCATTTATAAAATGAGAGGGACTTACATTTGATATAATGAGACTGACCCCTACAAGAAACTCTCGATGTTAAGTTCCACAAAGGAGCATGGATCAGGAATACCAAAGTTGTTCAGCACCTGAAAACAACAACAAAGAAGATTATGTAGCAAGATTGCCCTTGTAAACTAACTACAAATTAACTAAATTGTTTTCAAATTTTAAGTAAATAAATAAAGTTGATTGTATCATCTTGGTCACAGTACAAGAATGCAAACAGCATAGATGCTAACACAAGAATGCCCATAAGATATTAATAGCCATTAAAATTTGCAAGATATGAAGGGTCAGTAATACATGCATGCACGCACCAGAAATGCTGTTTAATGCAGAAATATGTAAATTACCCCGGAAAAATCACCTCCGATTCAATATCATCACCATCACCTACTGTTTCCAAATAAGTTCTCCACATTCCATCATTCATCAATTCTACAACACAAATATTATATATACACACACAAAAGAGGCCAACTAGCATCTTTGAAGGGACTTTCAGCCAGGGAAGGAGCTGATTTCAATTTGCAATGATTTCAATGGTTGTGAAGGTGGTGGCAGACAACAAACAGTGGAGTTGATGTGATAGGTGATTATGAGTCCAAAGGTATGCTTATATACCCTTTCCTCGGGTTTGGGCAAGAGAGGGGGAAGTGGATCTACAAAGGAGAGGAAACCTTAGTTTCAAATTTAAAAGGTTCATTAATTCACATAGTAAGATTAAAGAATTAAAAAGAAGGAAATATGCTTCAATGAGAAAAGTATCTCTTCATGTGGGAACTATTTCCCATCCATTTTGCTCAAAAAACACTAAACTAAATCTCACAAGAAAAACAAACTTCTTGCACACACATCAAAATATAGATCATTATGATAAAGGCATGCTTTTCAACCTATTCCTCCTAAAGGATATTATAACAGCAAGAAAGCAAAACTATCTTACAGCAACTAATCCACGTTGTCTAATATCTAAAATAAGTTTTCTTGAGCAATATTTTACATACCTCTGGATGCACAATACCAAAAGCACCTATGCACTTCCCTTTGAAAATAATTCTAGCTTGTCTACCAGGAAGAAACTCAGATTCCTACAGTACATATCAAGAGAATGGTAAGACATTACAAATATTCCCTAGGTCAATTTTAAAAAAGAATGCATATAAGAGGTAAGACTTACATCTGCACGTTCAATATAGTAGCCTGCATTATCCCCAGGTTTTACAAATGGTGTCCCAATTACTTCCATGATTCTGTCGACCAGGCCGTGAATAAGCTGCGAAGCCAAAGTTGAAAATTAATTTTGCCAAATAAGTTGATCAGATCCCACTCAAATAATTTTCTTAAAACTACATGAAAAAGAAAAGGCGGAAAAGATGACATCTTCTATGGGTTTGTTTTTTTTTTAAAATAGCAGATGCATGGAAACAAGTGGCAGCACTTGTTACCGTAGAAAATATCAGTAGATTCAAAGCAGCATAAAGTTCCAATTGCATGTGAATAACAGTAATCACTCGCAACATTTAAGATAAGAGCAGTGATATGAAAAATGCTTGAAGACTCAGAAATTAGTTATCTATAATTAATAGTACATGTGGCAAACAAGACAGTAACCAATGTTTTGTTTACACCCAAACAGCCCTAGATGCACTTTGTTTTAGCCAAAAGGCACATCACTGCACACCTCTAATTGGATATTCATGGAATATTACAGATCTCCATCCATTTCCAGCAAATTAAGACATCTTGCCCACTGGACGAAAGTTGGCTATTTATCCAGTAAGCACTTTTTTTTAATTTTCTTATTTATAAATAAATCCAGTAAGCACTTAATCCAATTAAACAGTTGTAGGATTTTTTTGTAATTGTGATATTGATCCTTGCTGAAGAGCATACAGGTAAACTAAATACCTCTTTTAATTAAATCTTATAGTGACTATACATTTTTGTTTTCTCATTGACTCATGTCTCTTCTACTGTAACTGCTAAGCATTTCCCCCCACTAGCAAGTACCTCTTTCACAGTTTCCCAGGCAAACAGTTGTCAACCCAAGTAACAAATTCACTATGCATGGCCATCATCTATTATGAACAAATCTTCTCAAGTTTGAAGGGTTATTATGTTTAACTTTTTTCATTTCTTACCTTCAGCAGCACTAAATGGTATCTCGATTGCACAAATTCCTAATCATATCAGCAGTAAAATTGGTTTTCATCAGTCAACAATCCACCATTACATTGCAGGGAAGCTATAAATAACTTATTCCCTACTAAGTCCTTTTCTTGATGTGTCATTCCTAGTTTTCACATCCATCTTAACATCCATACCTTAGCTACACAGATTGTAATAGTATCTCTACCATTAGCTCAGAAAAAGAATGAAAAAAAATTCCATAAATTATTGATTTTTTTTTTTTTGATCGGCAAATGTTAGTTGTTAGTTGTTAGATTAGTACTTATGGGAGAAATTCTCCCCACCCTTGGCGAAGCACCTAAATGCTTGCACTCCCTTAATTCAACCCCCCTAAGGGGAATTGAACCCATGATCTCCTTGGGACTAAGCCCTAAGGAAGGCATAGTGGCCAACAAGGCTAGGCCTAGTTGGTTGATGGTATCATTGCCATCAATATAATTTTTCCTTTAGTAAAGATAGAGCAGTCAAGAGGGAAATCTATTGATCCATTAAACGTAAACTATAGAAGCTAACAAATTCAATCAAATTTTCACACAATAAGCAAGAGGAAAAAAAACTGAAATAATAGGAAATGGAGTTGCATAAAATTTACCCTTCTCATAACTGATTTTCCACAAAAAAAAAAATAGTATTCCAAAAATGAAGATTAGACAAAAGCATCACAGAAATTAATACCTCAAATCCTGAGTTAGAACCACAATACAAAGCAGCAAGTTGGCGACGATTTGTGGCACCAACATCTTTTGTCTCATTCAACAGGGTTATATCACCCACTTCAAATATCTAGGACCAAACCTTATGTTAGAAAAACTTCAACACATAAATACATAATAAATGAGGGGGAAAGAAGTAAGGATATTCTTGCAAAGAAGGAAAGATAGAAAATCTTAAGCCATTAAACCACCAAAAGTTTCTAATAAAAATCACTGTTAGAACTACACATTATTGTGACACTAAAGCACATACTATGGACAAAATTCTCACAATTGGGCTTTAACATCAACTTTTCCTTAAAATGAATCACTACTACAAATCTAGTTCTATTCAAAATTAAAAAATGGACACTACTACAATGTAGTCCGATTCAAAATTAATAAATCAAACCATTTTGAGTAACAAATTATTCTTAAATATTATTTATTGATTGTAAATATATAATTACTTAAATAGTTAAATCTTGATTTACAAGTGAGAGATATAGGTTGTGCCTATAAGGTACAACGCCAACCCCAAGTTACGATTAGGTACATCTAAAAAAAATATTTAATTAAAATATGAATTTTTGTTTTTAACTTAAAATAACAAAATACGAAAATAAATAGTGAAGTCCATTAAAACAACAGATAAGTGACATGCATTAATATCACAAATAAGTATAAAGAATCTTTAAGAGTAATTATTATATCAAATTTCAAATCAACTAAATCTAATCTCAAGATAAATTGCAACTTTACCTAATCAATACTAATAACCCTTTTTAAAAAATGATATACAAGCTCACTTTTAAAACCTATTTTCTAGACTGAATAATGTATAAGTGAGATGATTGGCTAATAATTAGATCAAATATAAGAGAGACAAATAATACATGAGAATAATTAGTTAGTTGATCATTAAACTTGAGAAATGAATCTAATTTTTTTATTAGAATAGCACTACTCCTTTCCTTTTGGAGGTTAAGACTTGCCCTTTCATAGGTATCAAATGAATGATGTTATTTTACCTTCAAATGAGATTTTTAGTGGTTCAAAAAATTGCATAATGCCCAATTGAAGATCATATCATCCAAGGAAAATGATTTACAAATTCACTTCCTAAGCTCAATCATGTGTAAATAAGATGATCGGTGAACAATTAAAAAAGATATTTGAGAGAGATTTGCTTTAAATATTTTAATACATTTGTCACATCATTAAATTTAAAAAATAAATCTAATTCTTGAACTTGAATAAAAACAACTCAACATCTAATAGTTTGAAGCTCAATTTAAAGCACCTTAACATGTTAAATGATATGCCATCTGGTTGATTAAGCTACCAATTTTTTATCTCTAAATAAAAGGACACATCCCATTTAAAATAAAAATAAAAAATAAAAGGACACATAATAACATAATATTAAATAAAAATCATAATAAAGGATTGTGCACTATTATTGTGTTGTCACATTCTATCATTTAAAAATCATAATAAACTTAATCAATTATAAGTAAACACACATTTTGAAGACACCAATGAATAACACTGCAGTTGGTGAGGTGAACCCTATATATTGGCATTTAATATTTTATTATTTTTATGTATCTATACAATATATATAAAGCACGGATGCAAAGTGAACAGTAGTTTCACCCAAATATGAACAGTATTTTCTGAATAACTGAAAAGTCAATTTTGGCCTTATGCTTTATAACTTTTCTTCTTTGGATGCAAGGGTATTGATGGAAAACTGCCTTCAAAATTTGTTTGCTCGCTTTTTATGAAAATGAAAAGATCCATAAACACACAGCTGTCTCAGAGAACCCCCCTCCCCTCTCTCCTCTCCTCTCCTCTCCTCTATGCTCTTCCCAACGGTGATCTTCCTCCACCGATGACGATGTTCGACCGCCTCCTCTCTCCTCTCTCCTCTCACCGACCACCGATCTCTTTCGCCTTCCTCCCACCTCTGCCCTCTCACCGATCTCTTTATTTTGCCCCTTTACTTATAAAGCCTAAAAGCAAGACCAACAAGACACAAATAACACTTGTGTTCCCTGGAGAAGACGGAGAGAAGAGAGAGAGAGAGAGAGAGAGAGAAGAAGTCGAAGGAGACGAAGTAGGAAGACCAGAGTTGTCACACTCCCCTCTCCCATCGTTCAGGTTCGTTTTTCAGAAGTTAGGGTTTTCATACATACAAATCTAATATATTTTTTTTTGTGAGTTGTAAAAAAAATTGCAAGGACCAAACCCTAATTTTACCTTTTTTTGGGGGGATGTTTTATACCTAAATCGACTAAAGAGGATGCAATTCAAAATAGAAAGAAAAAAAAATTTGTGTAGATTGTTTTTGGGATTTTGCCTAATAAAATTAGGGTTTTTTCATATTTATATCTTTAGGGTTTATATTGTATTTATTCTGGAATTCAATCTTATATGGGTAAAGGGTAAGGGCTAGAGATGCTCGTCGTTGTTTTTTCTTCTGCAAGGTTATGGGGAGCAAAAAATTCTATTCATATTATGCTGTTATGTTAATTGTTGTTTCTCTGGTTCGACCTTTTTATATGTTTTTAAATTTATTCATATTAGTTTGTCTCATGATGTGAAGGTAATGTTTAGAGTTGTAATACTTATCTATGATTTTAGTTTTTGTGCTATTATCGTGCTTGATATATTTCTTTAGTTGGTTTTTGCTTTTCTTGGTGAGTATAATATTTTTAACTTACAAGGGTTGTCTTTTTTATCTTTTCATTTATGTTATCTATATACTTATGAAATCTATCAATTTTTTAAGACTTTATAGTGGTAAATTTATGACATTTATGATTTATATTCAATGTTTATTAATACTAAGTTTTATTACTAAACACATTTGAGTCAAAACTAAGTATTTTACTCATTAAATGCTTTATGATATTAATAGAAATATAAAACCTTCCAATTGCAATATTAGTCGTGGAAAGGTTAAAAAAATGCACAAGCTATGCTTTCTCATTTTTAGTTCTCTAAACCTGAAAAAGAGAGTCATATGTGTGAAAAATGATAATCATTCCTCCCTATAGAGAGTTTTGAATATAATATGTTTTTCACAAAATTTTAGATTATACTTTGATTACATTGGGGAAATATAAAAAAAATCCTTGAAAGTTATGGCTTTTCTTTATTTTTATTTATTTATTTTTTTTCCTACAAGGTACTAGCCTACCATCTCTGGAATTTATTATTTTTTAAACCATAAGCACATTACTTAACCTTGACTTTTCCAATCGTAAATTGATATATATACTTCCACTTTCCCATCCCCAAATCGATTTTTACACAAAAAAAAAATAAAAATAAATAAATAAATAAAAATTATGCCTATATGTTATATTCATGACATTAATGGTTTTGTATTATATTTTTGATCTACAAATACTCCATGAAAAGATTAAATATGTCTTGGTAAAGTTTTTCGGTATCTGCAGACTAGCCCAACAACATAATTGTAGACATGAATAACTAACTAATAATATTTTTGTATTTTCATCGATTTTATGGTGCAGGCAAGGCATGTAGAACATGCGATGCTATTTTGATCCAGAAATTGACATGGAGGAATTCTTCAGGTTAGGTGTTGAAACTATAATTTTGAGTCTGGTACATATCATTTGGATTCATTCGCAAAAATTTATGTTGCAACTTTTGACAGATTTTTTAGCTATTGTTTGGATTCATTTGGAAAAAAATTTAAGTTGCAACTTTTCACAGATTTTTTAACTATCATTTGGTTGTGTCGTGACATTCAAAATCAATCAAGAATTATTTTCTCTTTGGTTGCCATGTGAGAAATTTCTGTTTAGTTGAACCCTCATGTTGTTCCTTTTGTTGGTGTGTTGTCGTATGCTTAGGAGTAATTACTAAACATTGGATTTGGAATCTCTATTTGAAGTTCACTCTCACGTGAATTAGACAATTCTTGACTTGGTTTGGGAAAGGAAAAAAAACATCTCAACTAATGATCTAACTAGCATACAACATAATTTGGAAATAAAAAAAAAATACATTTCCATGCTTCAAATGAAAAGAGATCTGTTAAAATCTATCCTAAATTTGTTATTATTATTAGTATTATTATTTTTCTTCATGGTTGGATACATAGTTATTGCCATTGCAGGAACTACTATTCATCTTCAAGTGAAGGAAGATAATAGATTTTACGCAAAATTTGCAAAATTTGATTGATTCTTCGTTCTTGGTTATGTGAAGATAAAATGTTCTTTTATTATTTTTTTTATACCCATGTATACTTTTGGGTTTTTGTTTTTTATTCTTCTATTCCTTTTGGAGCGTTATTTAATTGTTCCTCATTGGTTTTCAACATTTGCTGGGCAGAAGAGACCTTGTTGGGTTGGATTTAGCTCAGCATGTGTCATCTTTGTATATTTTCTTTGTTATTTGTTCTTTATTATTTTTCTCACTGCTTTTCTTTTTATTTTATTATAGCGATTCCGGGTTTTACCCTTGTTGAATAGTGATCCGGACATGTGTCCGTGGATGTTAGTTGTGGTTTATTATTTTGTTTGCATCCTCTTTACTTCATATTTGAGTTATGGGATGTGTTGGGTGGGTTTGTTTCAGGTTGGTTGAGTTTAGAAACCAAAACTAGTTGCCCAGATTTTTGGCCTGTCCGCTCGAGCGGAGGTGTTGGCGCTCGAGCGGGGAATACATCCGTCCAGTATCTTGTTGTGCAGTGTTGTGAGCTCGAGCGTAGGGATTGGGAGCTCGAGCGGAGGCCTGGTTCTGCAAAAGTGTTGGGCGAGTGCATTCTGCGCTCGAGCGGGAGGTTGGCCGCTCGAGCGGAAGTCTGTGAGTGGCCGCTCGAGCGGGGTGTTTTACGCTCGAGCGGAGACCTAGATTAAAATCCCGAAATTGTGACTTTTCAAATCACTTTTTACTTTCTCTTCTCTCTCTTACTTTTCCAAAATCACCATTATTGAGCCTCTTACTCTAGACTCTACCTTCTCTCTAGGTTTTGATCTAGTAGGAGTGATTTACTCATCTTTGGCCTTTACAAAAAAGTTGTTGATCGTCGAGGGCTTCATTTTAATCTGAAAATCTCGGGTTTTAGA